TCCTTCACCCTAAGATAAATCACCCAGAGGCCTCCCCCTCCCAAGTGACAGTGATCCTCGTCGATGTTTACCGACGAACTATCACGTTGATTGCGTCGATGTTTGGTGTTACGGTGTATCAAGAAACGTCTAACCTGTCCTGCCTCTATAAATGAACGTATTTTGCCATCAGAGCCAAAATTAAAACGTTGTTGGCTTTACTTGCAGGTTTGGCTTCAGAGGCGGTATTGTCTAACCGATAGCATCCCTGTCGAGAATTTACACCCATGTGGCTGGGAAGTGTTCCTCCACCAGATAGGCGGCTAACAAAACAACATTTTGGCGCCCTCTCAGGTCCTACTAGAGCGTTGAAAGCATAGTTAGCCTGCCGGTCTATTTAATGATCCAGGTTTCCGGGATTCCTTCCTGCCATCTTCCCCTAAGATATCTGCAAACGCAAATCGGGTTGAAGTGGTCATTTCTCCTCGCTTAGCTCTGATAACTCCTTTCGCTTCTGAGTTGTAGAGCAATGTAGTTTGGAGTCCCGACCTGCGACTTCAGCTGCTATTGTTGTGTTTCCTAAGACTAGGTTGGTCATACGTCTAGGAGCTCATGCATTGTGCCGTGAGTGTCTTGGATGCAGACTCTTTTGTCGTGTTTGTTGTTGGCTCAAAGTTCAAGTTCCGCCATGTGCATGCTTCCGCATCTGAGGTCTAGCACAGGAGCCTGTATGCTGTAGCGCATTATCCTTGTAGGAAGCAGGGAACCTTATAGGAATCTGAAGTGCGTTAAAATTATCCAGCGTCCTTTTCCCAAGCTTTTAAATTTCAATGGGGAGGAGAATGGCGCAGTTCACATTCATGGTTTCACGAAATTTGCAGTCCACCGGGGCCTATTTTTGAGCTCTAAGACGAGACTTATTCTTACAGATACAGTATGGCGTGTGCTGCAAGAAACATTCCGCAATTTGAAAAAGACCCGTAATCACTCGCAAACCAACATTGGGTAGGGTTGCAATACTGTTTATCATGCAGTCGAATCGCAATTATTTTCAGTCACGCTAGGATGCCGAGCCTGTGATGAGCTTCTTTCTGACCGCTGCGAAAAGTCGATTCTCTAAAAAATGGCTACTTAAATAGTATGCATTCTCATCATGGATTTTGACTGCCTTTATACATTCAAATATGTTTTATGGAAAGCATACAAGAAGAAATCCTCTCTTGTACTTATTTGATAGAAAATTACGCTTTATTTAAATTTTATACTTAAAGGAAAGGTTTCCTTCTGTTTTAAAAAAATTTCTAATTTTGAGTTTTTTTTACGACTGTGCGGTGTTCATTCATAATACATCGTATCCGTCAATTTATTAATGCTGCCTCTGATGCATACAGCCTGATCCATGTCTATTGTGAGATTCTATGACAGCTATGCAACCACTTCCTCAAACCGTAGGCGCGAACGTACTTTTCCTTAAACAGGATGAACACGGCATTCACTTTGTAAAACTTGAATTCAGTTCTAACAGTCGGTAGGTTTCAAAATCATTCAGCAATTTGGAAACTTTATTAAAACCGAAGAAACCCTTCCTTTAAGAATAAAATTTAAAGAAGGCGTAATTATCTATCAAATAAGTACAAGAGAGGATTTTTCGTGCATGCTTTCTATAAAATATATTTGAATGTATG